ATAGCGAGAGACTACTGTGGCCTGGAAAAGTCGAAGAGCGGCCGGGACGAACTAGTTGTTGGTAAAAGGTATTATACTTGTACTCTAAAGTGCTGCTAAGGGAGGCCACATGAATATCCTCGCATTGAAAGGGATCGGCCAGACATTCAAACAGACTAGAACTAGGATATACCACAAGTACATTCATACGTACAGAGCAGTGTTTCCCTCTGAATCCTGTAGGTTGGCCGAGGCTTTGTGCTTCAAAAGGATCTGGATCATTTTTAGATTTCCTTTGGCTGCTGCTCTATGGAGTGGAGTCGATTCCAAGTGATCCTTGGCGTCTGGATTCGCTTTATGCTCTAACAGCATCTGTGCGATCTAATCATGACAAAGGTGAGGAAAAGTGTGTGCCACTGGGCATTTCGTGCCAGGGGGTGGGGGAGGAGGGGCGCAGCGCACGGACTCGCTTACCTCCTGCTTGTTCTTCGAGGCCGCGTAATGCAGAGGCGTGCAGCCGTTCTGATTGACAGCGTTCACCTGGGCGCCTTTCTTGATCAGCGCTTTCACAATCTCATCTCGACCAGCCGATGCTGCAATATGCAGAGGACTCCAGCCAGCCTGAAGGTGCCAAGAAAATAAGGCGCAAACTCTTACAAGTTGGGAGGAGGGAAAGGGGGTAGTTTTTGGTTACAAAGAAATGACCCCAGTTCCCTGCCCTAGCAAAAGAATTCGTCTCTGTCCCTAAGCAGAAGGAAAATTAACGACTTGTTTTATAAGACTGCTAAGCGAAAGAAGAAACCGACAGTAATAGCAGTACTGTTTCCCATGTACGCAGGACACGCGATTCAACACATTTCAGATACAGAAACTCAGCTATCCTTACAAAAGCCCTGGAGGGTGCGGGATGAAAAGTGAGGCTTGACAGTGACTTGCCTTGGTAAGTTCTTGGCATAAGTTGTGAGCAGGTGAATTGGCTACTGAATAACTTAAGTTTGCTCTGGAATCATCCTTCCTGGGCTAAGACAAAAATGTGTGAGCCGGAGGCTAAAAAACTGTGAGCTAGCTCACACTAACTCAGCTTAGAGGGAACACTGCTTACAAGAGCCCTGGAGGGTGCGGGATGAAAACTGAGGCTTGACAGTGGCTTGCCTTGGTAAGTTCTTGGCATAAGTG